ATTCAAGGGTAATCTGACTCAAATCCAAATCACAGAATGTAAAATTGAAAGAGACTGCAATCAACATCTATGGGTAGGGTGGGTGTTTTGTAATCCTCCTGGCATCTGTCATTGGGTAAGATATCAAAACAAAACACTGGATGCAATTACCATCATAATGAATACTCTTTCTGCAGTTGCATGCCTATGAACACTGGTGTCAGCAGAAGACATCCAATGTCTCCAGACGAACAGAACATTGACAGCTCCCTCTTTGGGTTGCACCACATGTAAGGCACCCTTGTCAGGGTATGTCGGAAATTCTTCTTCTCACAATATACTCACGACTCACTTTCATTGGAATAAACTGAACAATTTTATTCCGACTTCTCTAACTTTTCCCTCTCTCCATGTGCTTTTTTCTCTTATCCCATAATGTTTTTCTTTCGTTCCCAGCCTCCGCGGCTATGCAAGCTAGGTATGCCTGACTAATCTTTCGATTAAGCATAAACAAACAAATCAATACGGCTTAAACTTAACATAATCTCAGCAGGTAGAGATAATGCTTCCTTATCCTATAAAAAAACTGGTTGAATATTTATGATGTTAGTAGATATCTTGAAAGGTGGGAAAAGGCATTTTCCTGAACACTACCTGACAATTCTCGACCGATGAAATCCAACCAACCTTCATTTTAATTTCGTGATCGCTATTGAAACAAAAATCATCCCATCTAATGAGGTGTTGTGTATTAAATATCATAAGGGCCCATCATCACATTGACATACGTGGGAGTCAATAGACAAGCAGTTCATGTGAACTTGAACTTGACACTGACACATTTTCCTGTGATAGCACGCCCAACGCAATTAATGCCATCACCAAAGGTGATGCATTCGTTTTCTTCCGCAAGCACTTCATTTGAGTGGCTCTCATCCTTTTCTTCACCTAAAAGCCATTTGCACTTTACATTCTGATTCCTTTCCCTCTTCATGTCCATTGTGATCAATTTTCGAGTTTTTTTATTGAAATAACTATATATTCTAATAACTATATATGGTCTAAACTGTATGATATATACGTATGATACACGATCCTTCGCAGTAGATAGCGCTATTTATGCAATAGCGAAAATCAGACCTGAAAAAA